GAAGAGGGTGAAGGGACGAAGGTGGCACGAAGGTTCTCTCTAAGAAGGAGAAGGAGAAACTCAAGAAGGAGAAAGAAAAGGCGAGCGCACATGCCCAACTTTGCTCTGACCTAACTGACGCAACACAGGCGAAGAAGAAAGCCCAAGCTGCTGCCAAGAAGGCTGCCCAAGCTGGAGAGGAGCCTTCAGCTGTCTCAACACCGGAGCCTGCACCTGCTGCACTGCCCGCAGAAAAGGAAGATGAGGACGAAGAGGAAGGTGAAGGAAGCGGCGCCAAAACCGACTCCAAGAAGAAAAAGAAGAAAAAAGCGAGGAAGGATGAAGAATCAGCTCCTGCGCCAGCGGCTGCTGCAGGGAAGAAGAAGGGCGGTGCGATCGGTGCGCTCAAAGCGATGATGGAGGAGAAGAAGCGGTTAGAGGAGGAGGCACGGAGGCGTGAGGAAGAGGAGAGGAAGCGGATTGAGGAGGAGGAACGGATAGCGGAGGAAGAAGCGAGGAAAAAGGAGGAGGAGAAGCAGAGGAGGAAAGAGAAGGAGAAGGTCGGTAACGTTGCGTTTATCCGTTACTTTCACGTCTAACAATCCTGCAGGCCAAGCGCGAGCAGGCAAAGAAGGAGGGCCGCTACTCCGCCGAAGCAAAAGCAGGGCATCGTATGGCGGAGTCCGCAAGCAAGTTTCTCGCTCCGGTGTACAGATCGAAGGTCTGCAGCAGCAGAGCCAGGATCAAGAAGCCTGTGTACGGCGCAAGAGGAAAGAAGGGTCCTACGAGCACAACGGTAGTGTCCGTCACACGGGACCGTCACCTGTACGGAGGAGAAGCCGGCCACGCCTGAGCCTGCTCCCGCTCCCTTGCCTGCAGAGCAGAAGGAGGAGAAAGAGGAGAAGGTCGAAGACGTTCAGTCCGACTGGGACGCTAGTAGTGGCGAGGAAGAGAAACCTTCAGCTGGCGTCAAGGATTCGTGGGATGCGGATAGCGATGAGGAGGGGGCCAAGCCTCCAGCACCTACTCAAGCTGCACCTGCAGGTGGGTAGTTCGAGCGCTGATTGCGTAGGCTGGCCTTGATCTGTTCCTCCCCATAGCGAATGGCTCGAGCAAGGCACCCGCAAAACAGGCTGCACCGGCCAAGCCTGCGGTCACCAAGAAGGCTGCGCCAGCGAAGGCCGCACCTGCACCCGCATCCAAAGCCGCACTCGCCGCGGCCAAGACGAACAGCAAGCCCAATGGCGCGAAAGCCCAGCCACAAGAAGAGTCCTCCTCCGAGGAAGAGAGCTCGTCAGAAGAGGAGTCGTCCGAGGAGGACTCCGACTCTGACGAGGATTCGTCTGAAGATGAAGGCATGACCAAGGCGCAACAGATGGCTGCGCAGAGGAAGGCGGAGGCGGTCGCGCGCCGAGCGAAGGCGCACGAGGCGGCGTTGGCTGCGAGGGACGAGTCGGATCTGCGTAGTCCGATTTGTTGTATTCTGGGGCATGTCGATACGGGTAAGACGAAGCTGCTTGACAAGGTGGGGACGTCGTGTTATCCCCAAATCAAGCAGGCATTGACATTTGGCACGGCAGATCCGGCAAACGAATGTGCAGGAGGGCGAAGCGGGTGGTATCACGCAGCAGATTGGTGCTACTTATTTCCCCGTGGACGCCATTAAGACGAAGACGGCTGTGCTCAACAAGGAGGGCAACCAGGAGTACAAGATCCCCGGTCTGCTCGTCATCGATACACCTGGTCACGAATCGTTCACAAACCTGCGGTCTCGCGGAAGCTCGCTGTGTAACATTGCCATCTTGGTCGTCGATATCATGCACGGATTGGAGCCTCAGACGCTTGAGTCGCTCCGGTTACTCAGGGACCGCAAGACGCCGTTCATCGTCGCGCTGAACAAGGTACAGTATACCAAAACGTATGGACTACTGATTATTCACGTTGTTAATGTACAGATCGATCGTATGTACGACTGGGATGCGACACCAGACAACGACTTCCGGAGCTCGCTCGCCAAGCAGAAGCGATCCGTCCAGCGCGAGTTCGAGGACCGGTTGCAGAAGACAATCCTCGCCTTCGCCGAGCAGGGCCTCAACGCTGTCCTCTACTACGAGAACAAGAGCTTCGCGCGCAACGTCTCGCTCGTGCCCACGTCTGCCATCACTGGCGAGGGTGTGCCAGACATGATCATGCTCCTCGTGAACCTCACGCAGCAGCGCATGAGTGACCGGCTCATGTACCTCAGCGAGCTTGAGTGTACGGTGCTCGAGGTCAAGGTCATCGAGGGTCTTGGAACGACCATCGACGTCGTCCTCTCAAACGGTATCCTCAGGGAAGGCGACCGGATCGTGGTCTGCGGTCTGAACGGCCCTATCGTCACACAAGTACGTGCGCTGCTCACGCCACAGCCTCTGCGCGAGCTGCGGATTAAGTCCGCGTACGTGCACCACAAGGAGATCAAGGCGGCGATGGGAGTGAAGATCGTCGCGCCGGACCTCGAGAAGGCGATCGCCGGTTCGCGGTTGTTGGTCGTGGGGCCGGACGACGACGAAGAGGAGATGATGGACGAGGTGATGTCGGACCTGACGTCGCTCCTGAACTCGATCGACAAGTCGGGGCGCGGCGTGTGCGTGCAGGCGTCGACGCTCGGCTCGCTCGAGGCGCTGCTCGACTTCCTCAAGTCAAGCAAGATCCCGGTGTCGGGCATCAACATCGGGCCGGTGCACAAGAAGGACGTCATGCGTGCGGCGACCATGCTGGAGAAGGCGAAGGAGCTGTCGTGTATTCTGTGCTTCGATGTGCCTGTGGACAAGGAGGCGGAGAGGCTGGCGGAGGAGATGGGCATCCGGTTGTTCAAAGGTGGGTATTATCTTGTTCGTATAGAAGGTAGGTGCTGACTCGCGATGCGCAGCGGATATCATCTACCATCTGTTCGACGCCTTCACTGCGTACAATGCCGAGATCATGGAGGCGAAGCGGAAAGACGCTGCTCCTCAGGCTGTCTGGCCGTGCCGCCTCAAGATCATCGCCGCCTTCTGTAAGCGTGACCCGATCATCCTCGGTGTGGATATCCTCGATGGCACTCTGCGGGTGAATACACCCATCTGTGTCGTGAAGACCGACCCAGAGACGCAGAAGAAGGAGATCATCGACCTAGGAAGGATGTGAGCCTTACGGTCAACATATTAAGTGATCTATGGCTGACCACTCGGAACCAGCACCTCTCTGGAGATCAACCACAAATCCTTCGACATTGTCAAGAAGTCGCAGGCCGGTGGTGGTGTGGCCGTGAAGATGAACATGCGGTATACCAGTCTGCGAAGATGTTCGGCCGGCACTTCGACGACAAGGACGAGCTCTACAGCCACATCACACGACAGAGTATCGACGTCCTCAAGGTATGTAATGTAAGACTCGTAAATGCGGCGCCATGCTCATTGGCGTCGTAGACCTCGTTCAAGCAGGATGTCTCGAACGAAGAATGGCTCCTAATCAAGGCCTTGAAGCCGGTACGTTCCAAAGTCAGTGAAACAAATGATCTAGCTAACGTATACGCTGCAGCGTCTCAACATCTCCTGATGAGTTCATCCACTACGAAGGTTCATGCTCAACGTCCGTCGCTCTAGTTTGTCGCAATGCTTGTATTGTAGGAAGCTCTGCATGCACGCATGTATTTATACGCACATCTTTGTCTCTACTAATATCATGTAGCTTTCTCCGGTCGAGCGACTGCCCCCACAGTGATCAATTTACCGCATATTTCATTCCTGAGCCGCTGCCAGATCACATGGGGCTTTCCCATGCATGTTGGTCCGCCGGTTCCTCCATCGGGGTCTATCTTCGGAATCCGGATGCGCGTCTCTGGTGCATTCCGCAAGGTAAGAACATGCCTGCACACTTTTCACACTGCATGACTGTCTCTCTGTTCTCCGTAGACTCTGACTAAAATTCTCCAGGACCAGATCATTCCCCGACATGGCAACAGCCGCCACGAGTATTGTTTTTGTGATTGACAGAGCATCTCAGAGAACACCGCGGGAGCTTGCAGATCCGTTGCGGTGGACTGGCTGGTTGAGGTACACGATGCCTCCGAATATAGCTGATGCGTATATGGCGGATGAGCGCCTTTATCAACATATTTACAACTACCTGAGGTCGCGCAGCAGCGCTCTCTACCATCGCGTGCACAAAGAGAATCGGACAGGGAAGGTTGCAATCTCCGAACAGGTATACTTCCCTTCTGTCTACTGCTTGTATCTTCCATGTCAGAGGCTTATATATGTTATTCAGCTTCTCTGGATACATCGTCTACAACACCGGCGCCCAGGTAGTACAGTGTTTGTTATACTTGGACGCAGTTTCGGGATCTCGTCCTCGCTCAAATGGGGGTGATCCAAATCATTTACTGCATGAATTGGCAAAGATCAATGCTGGTCTGCTGATCCATGGTGGTACAGACCTGACAATTGATTATAGGTGAGTACCTACTGCAGATGAATGTTATGCCAAGGCTACTTAGTACTCATGGGGGATTTCAGGACACCATCTGGACGTGACACATTCCAATCAGTGGAAGAGGAGGAACTCTACATCGAACGACTCCGGATGCTGTCTAGGTGTTTTCCAGTCTGGCCACCCGTGCGCGAGCTTCGCACAGCAGCTCGGAAGCTCCAAATAATGCACGATCTCGACCACATCGCTCGAGAAATCACCAAGTCACCCCGTCCTCACACTGTCTTGTATAACGGGGGCCGGACACAGGGTGACTGCGTTTACAAGCGCGAGGGGAGCAAGAATAGCGACCGTTTCTACCGTGGAAAGCTGAAGCCGAAGAGGAAGATTGACGAAGACATCGAGCTAACAGGAGGGCGATGGAGGTGGATGGAGCAAAAAGAAATTCCACTCCTGTGCAACACCGGCGAGCTGCGCGTGTATGTTGCGGCTCAGCCGTGCAGCACGCGGTGCATACAATCCGGTTGCCTCATGGTGGATTCGTGTCCTCAGTACTGAGAGATTGCTTACTTCCACAAGACATGATGTCAGTATACTTTGTTTCATGCACTCATCCAACTGATCGCGTGTTGTGCACTCATAGGATCGAGGATGTGGAACGGCGATCAACCCGAGAGTCAACAGAGCTAGTGGATGCTTCGCCAGATCTGGAGGCTCAGAAGCCATCCGAACTACTGCTCGAGAATTGCTTGAGTGGTTCGTACTCAACACCGTTGACGGACTCGCAATGCAGAGGTTGCTGCGCTGGGGCTGGGAGAGTCTTCACTGCTCCAATACGCGCGAGTTGATCTAGGCGTAATGCGTGGAGAGGATGGCAAACTCCACTGGTTTGTCAATCAAGTCGCACGCGGGCTGGGGGCCGGGCTCTTTGCTGCGAAGGATCCGAATGCTGCTCTGCAAGTGATTGATTCGGTGCTGGAGTCGGTACTGAAGTGGCGGAGGGACTGGACTGCTGATCCTTCACGATAATATACTTATGGCTTCTGTTAATCTCGAAGCAACCACCATCATGACGTAGAGATGACAGTCACCAAATTGTAATGCTCTGAGCCGTTCACGTTATCTCAGAGTCGACTGGCCTCCAAAGGCCGCGTCGATGCGGCAAGGCTGTCGCTGAGCGCCGTGAACCTTCGGACGCGGCCCTCGAGTTTGTCTAACATCCTGTCCGTGGATCCAACCAATATCTTTCACATTCAACATGGCAGTCTACATACTTTCAATAAGAAGCTCCTCACACAATCGACTACTCCATCGTCGAATATTGTGCAGTACAGTACGGCGCCAGCTCCTATCGTTCCTGGATAAATCACATTCCAGGCGCCCGCTCGCGACACTTTTCATGACCTGCTTTCTGTCTGTGTTGGCCGAAATCCTTTTCCCACCACCACCACATCTCTGCTTCATTCTCTTTACCACTGTAGAATGGCTGCAGAAGACGCAAATGTCGCTCAACTCCCCGCTGACGCGAGCGCGACTCCTCCGAAACCGGCGAAGACGAGCTCCAGCTGGTAATACCCAGTCCGAAGGCAGAGCTGGCCAGACCTACACAGGACAGAGGCCCGCTATGAAGTATCATCGGTAACGTCGTCTTTTTCAGTGGTACACTGGAATCGGCTACGGGTATCCTTTCGCCGCGATGCCGTCTCTCGTCTTGCACTTGCCAGACGATCGTCAGATGAGCGAGCGAGCGAGCGAGAGTAGCAGAGGACCGGCAAGGGTTGAGATTACACCGTTTGAACCTGATCAGCGCTCATACCTGCGTAGGGAAGCCCCAGTGTCGCCATGTTGATTGCCCCCTCTCGAGGGAGCCCCGCAGAATGTGCTGACCTGTTTTTTTTCATATCTCCTCATAGCAAAAGCTCGGATACAACAGGTGCGTTCTCTATAGACGAGGCAATACCATGACTGCAGGCTGACTCCTTGTGTAGCAACTTCACCGTAGCTGGCACCTCCTCGAGAGTTTCGCCGCTAGCTTCGTGGCCCTCAACTTCATCGGAGGTGTTCGGTAAGACAACGCTGTCTTGTCATTCACGGAATGTTAATCTTCGCTCGTAGCTCTGGTATCTTCCTCGGACTTGAAGCAGGCGGCCCATTGGCCGTATGGTACGTTTCCCGTCTCGCAACCCTCAATGCAAGCGCCTCGTGCAACCTCGTCACTCACATCTGCTTCAGGACGACCTACATAGTCTCGATGATCTTCATGTTTATCACCGCCGCAGTCATGGCCGAGATATGCTCCGCGCTCCCGCTCAGCGGCTCGATCTACGTCTGGAGCGCAGAGAGCGCAGGTCCCAAGTACGGCCGCTTCTTCGGGTTCGTCGTCGCCTGGTGGGCCTGCACGGCCTGGATGACGTTCTCCGCCTCGTGCTGTCTCGTGCGTGTCCTGCCTCATACCGCCTGCGATCTCCGCTGACGCGCTCGTCCGGCAGACCGCGGCGAACTACATCGTCTCGGAGCTCCTTGTGTTCGAAGTGTACTACCCGGGCGGGGCGGGCACCGACTCCATCCAGTGGCGCGCGCTCGTATGGGCCGTCGCCGAGGGCTGCTTCGTGGTCGCGGTCGCGGTCAACTACCTCCCCCCGCGCTGGTTTTCGGCCGTGTTCAAGATCTCGATCGGGCTGTACATGCTCGACTTCTTGTTGTGCCTGATCTGGCTCCCCATTGGCGTGTCACGCACGTATGGGTTTAGGTCCGCGAAGGAGGTGTTCACGGGGACTTGTGAGTGTACTGCATGTGGAAGGGGTCTGCGAAACTGATGGATATTAATGCAGATAATTTGACGGGAGCGCCGCCCGCTTGGAACTTCATCCTCTGCTTGTACGCAGAACACATCATCATTATTATCTCCCTTCTTTGACACTTCTATGCCAGCTTGTACTCGTCCGGGACAATGATCGGTTTCGACGCATCCGGGCACATCGCCGAGGAGACCAAAAACGCCAGGTCCGTCGTCTCCTCTTCACCCACCATGCATCTTCACTGACACCCCTGCAGCGTCGTCGCCGGCCGTGGCATCCTCTACAGCGCCATCGCGACCGGCGTGCTCGGCTTCATCACCAACATCCTCTTCCTGTTCTGCACGCCCGACCTCGACACGCTCTTCTCGCTCGACGCCCCGCAGCCGTTCGTCCAGCTCTACGCACTCGCGCTGGGTAAGGGCGGCGGCGCCTTCATGACCGCCATCGCAGCGCTCGGCCTGATCCTCGTAAGTCCCTCGCTCTTCTCTCCCATCCCACTCAGAACCTCATAGATCTTCCTTTTTACAGAATACGAGTGTCTCCGTAGTAGCCGCGTCTCGACTCGTCTTCGCCGTCGCGCGCGACGGCGTGCTCCCCTTCTCGCATTGGATCGGGCAGGTCGACGACCGGCGCCAGCCGCGCAACGCCGTGACGGTGATGTTCATCTTCGGCGCCGCGCTCCTCTGCACGATCCTCCCGTCCGACGTCGCCTTCACGTCGCTCACCTCCGCGGGCGGCGTGCCCACCACCGCGGCATATGGGCTGATCGCGCTGCTGCGGCTCATCATGACCCCGGAAGATTTCAAGAGCAGCCACTATTTCTTGGGGAGGTGGAGACGCCCGTTCTATATCGCCACTGTGCTGTTCAATGGCTTGATCTTTGCGGTACGTTATTCACGGTTCAAAAAGCTGCACGGGAAGGTGTTGAACCCGCTCCCGCGCAGACTCAAATCTCGCCGTTCTACTTCCCGGTCACGGCCCAGAGCTTCAACTTCGTACGTCCCGTGTCATACGCCGCACACGACGATGTCTTACTGACCCTGACACTCACTCGCAGGCCCCAGTCATCCTCGGCGCCGTCACCATCTTTGGCATCCTCAGCTGGTACTTCATCCCCGCCGAGAAGTGGCTGCGCCGCGAGCAGGTCCTACGCGCTCTTCAGGTCGCCGACGAAGAGCCGTTTGGAGCGGGCAGCACATCTGTGGACGGTGGCCACGCCAATGAAAACGCGAGATACCGCGTCGACTCGGTGGGCGGGAAGGCGAAGGGTCTGGTTATGGACTGAAGTCTACCGACGTTAAGGCTGAAGTGCGTAATGAGGTGTGAAGTGAGAGCGAATTATCTAGTTTTCGATACGAGTACTTATGCCCGATGTATGCATCATCTCTTCTTGCTAAAGCGAAGTAATAGGTATGGGCAGTGAGCTAGATAGATGTATTGCGTGTCAATAGAGTTGTCAGAACGGCTCGAGTCCCAGTAGTCCTTGACACGCTCCCTCCACGTCGGCGATCTGGCGTTCAGAGTCACATTCGGACACGGCGTTCAAAATCCCGGCATAGAACGTACCTCCTTGGGCGCACTCGCGCTGAGGACTACTGGGTGCTCCTCACCGACCAGCACCTCGTCCTATGGTGTGAGGTATCAGACGTGGAACACTCAATGAACCAAGGAACCCACCTCTATTCGGATGCCGATGTTATGGAAGTGTTTTGGGAAGTGTGGCGATGGCGGCACGTAAATGCCTGTACCCATATGAGTGGGGTGCTTGTGGTGAGGTAGATCAGAGAAAGGCAACGTACCGGGCTCCACGGTGATGACCATGCCAGCTTGCATCCTGATTCCCAACGTCAGCTTCACGCGCTCGGCACATGAATGACCACAACAACATACGGCGCCTGTCGGTCAAAATGGCTTGACTCGTGCAAATCTATTCGAGCACGAGTTCATCAGCTCACAACGGCCTCACATAAGAGACAGACACAATTTCTACTCACCAATCCCCACGGGATGGCCCACGAAATGCGGGTACAGTTCATTCAACCGCCCGCCCGTGAAGCCGAGGTCGAACCCGATCTGCGTGAGCTCTGCACGCAGGAACTCGACGGACTTGTGGTGGAGCTGTGAGAGCGACAGCCCCGCGCGCGCGGTGCAGAGCGCGACGAGCTGCTTTTGTGCGGAGAGGAGCGCGTTGTAGAGGTCGGCTTGCGCGGAGGTGAACGCGCCTGAGGCGGGGAAGGTGCGCGCTAGTGGACGGCATTAGCGCGGTGGGAATTATGAAGTGGGCGTGGGTGAGCGTACTGATGTCTGAGGCGTACCCGCTTCGTAGGAGATGTCAGTCGGGGGAGATGGACATTTGCAAGTGGCGTACTTGTATTCACAGCCCGCATCGACGAGGACAAGCTCGTTCTCGCGGATGAGCTGGTTGTTTGACGTGTAGTGTATTGTCAGCGCGTTCGGGCTGTGGCGAACGGTCAGTTGGCTGCCCTTGGGTCATATTTGAAGAGACAGACCCAGATGCGACAACGGGTACATAGGCTGGACGCTGCGCACCCTCTCTCGCACAGAGGTACTCGAAGTGCGCGGCTAGTACGTGTTCTGACAGGCCCGGTCGAGCAAAACGCATCGTCTTCGCTTATAGTCAATACATATATTGTCCTTTCAATAGCGTGAAGAACTCCTCACTTTGGTGTGTGCCCGAGCACTAATGTCGGCAGCGGCCCGCATGACCTTCTGCTCTGCCTCGCTCTTGATCGCGCGCAGCCGTCCGACCTCCGGTGCGAGTGGACGACGCTTCTGTCCGCCGAGCGATTCGAGCAGGGTATCATGCTCCTGTGACGATCTCGACAGATACTGCAGGGGCTACTTGAGCAGAAAACTCGACCTTCTGGTACGCCAACAGACCTTGAGCAACGACTTGGCCGAGGCAGACCGCGAACGTTTTGGGCCGCCACCTGGAGGAAGGTCCACATATACGTGGTCCGTCTCGGCCATGACCCTCCGCAGCGCGTCAGGGAACTCGTCAACTGGCCGTGCGTTATCCGCACGAAACACCCGCACGACGTCCTGTGCACTCGTGCGCGCGCCGTCCCACTGTGCAGTTGATGGTGTAGACGGCGAGTGGAACAGTGTCATGCGGTATCCCCGCGAGGAGCTGTCCTTCTCCATGATGAGTGCAGCGCCTGGCTCTTCGAAGCCTGTGAGGTACCAGAAGTCGGAGTCCTGCCGGAACTTGTAACTGTATCACCAGGTGAGCGGACGCTACTTCTAGCTGATTCCATGTTGCTAGACCTCCCGAAAACGTGTGCACAGGCGGAGGGCGTCGGGCCCTTGTTTTCAGGTGATTCGCCCGCTGTACCGGTCGGCCTCTGCTTCATATCTCGGTCTAGTTCGCCCTCGACACTGCTCGTTGCAGTAGAATATTGATGGGACACAGAAGGAATACCAAGGCCCGCCTGTACACACTTTTCGGCGAGGGGTCTAGCAAAACGAAGTTAGCTGTCAAAAGGCAGTAGGCTTACAAGATCTCTGAGATAGCGAGTCAGATGCGAACAGTAAGTAGGAGAGTGCGTACGCACGGCCACTCATGTACTTCACCTGTGCAGCGACGCAGATGACCACACTGTGTGACGGCAGGCTATCCATCAGCGCGCGTCGCCGCGTCTCGTACTCTTGCGAGCCCATTCCAGGGACCAGCTCTCCATCCTTGACTGTGTTGCAAATGTAAGCCATTTCCTCCCGGTTCGATATTGCAAACGCACCAAGGTGGGGATGAGACGGGGTTAGCGGCTGTCCGTATATTGTCGGCTTTAGCGCGACATTGGCTAGTTGTGTCGCTTCCGTCGCGTATAGTCTATGATTTCTACGGCATTTTCTTGTGAAGGTCTGTGCACTACGAGCAGCGCTGCCGACGATGAGGGGGCGGAGAGACATGCAGGTCGCCCGCCGCGGCCCACGGCGTCGGCGATTCGGTTCACACAGGCGCCTGAGGACGTTCCTTCGCCCAGACCAAGTTCAAGTTGTACGCTTTCCTCACAGCGTCATACAGATTCAACACTATGCACGCACTACCCAGAAAGATGTTACAGCTCGTTCTATATTGCTGGACCCCTCGCCGAACAGTGTGTACAAGCGGTAGCATCGAGGGCGAACAAGCTCAAAATTTGAAGCCGAGGTAGTGCGCGCGTGTCGCTTGAGAACAAAGCCAGACGAAGGCCCGACGCCCTCCGCTTGTGCACGCATTTTCGGGCGGCGGTCTAGCAATATGGAATTAGCTGTCGCAACCCTACTTGATATTCCTGGTCATCCACGTCGACTAACTTAGGACTTCCGTAGCACCTCACGTACTCAGTATCGGCCATGTCTCGCGTGCATGCGTCAAGACGGTCACAATCACGCCGTGCAGACATCTTCATATGGTGGCCTTCGACTCCTTCGTCTCAAATCATGGCTTGTTCGCTTTTGCGCATATATTGTGATGAACAATGTCTTAATGACCCTCTGTACTTATAGGCTTCAGCTCGGAACTTGTTGGTTCTGTCACGGGCAGTACTCTAGTCCGCTGGGTCAACATGATCGCCCGTCTTGGTGGGGTCGACGTAATGGAGGTCAAACATGTCTCGTGGCGACGCGACGGCCCTTTGAACTTCCATCCCGAGCCTCTCGAAACTGTCCCGATCTCCAATGTTTTAGGCCCCGGGGACTATGGTTGTTTCTACATCGGTAGTGCATTTGTTTCATGCGCTTGGAGGAGGATGACTTACCATGATCAGACGAGCGATCCTTCTTTGCCATGCCATTTCCCTTCAACCCCTCCTACTCCGTCGTATCGCTGGAAGAAAAGAAGCAAATTTTTTCCACCATGGAACCAACACCCGGTAGTATCGAGAGCTTGGAATTGGTGAGGCCTTCAGAACATGAGGTATCTCGCTAGCCCCTTATTAGTGACATCATTCAGTACAACGTACCAATTAAACTCCGCGATCAAGTCTCTGCTCGTGACGGGGGCAAGTGTATCTTTACAGGATCCGAGTCGGGAACTAGCCCTGTAGATGTGCACTGGATGTATCCTCCAGGCATGGTCCGCTACGTGCGTTTTCTTTACATACCCTGCGTGGCAATAACTACTCACGACAGCTTTAGGTCACAACCGTGGCAGGAGAGAGATCATTGTTACCCGAAATAGAATATTTCCAGGGCATCAATAATTTGGCGACTATGCGAGGCGATATCTACAAGTTGTGGCACTCGAACGCGTTCAGTGTTGACGTAGATGTGAGTCGTTCGGTGCATTTCAGTTAGATGCTCCCACTCAACTGAGGTTTGCTACTGGGTCTCCAGGATGGGTACCGCGTCCGAATATTTGACGCGGCGGCCATAGGTTCCGGCCTGCCCTCTTGCCTTGGTACAATTCCAGCGGGGGCCACGTCGGACGACTTCTTCCGTGAACACTTTTGTCACACCCTGTGTGTTCACTTCGTCGGCGGTGACATTACTGCCGACTATTCACATCGGCAAGTCCAGGAATTTCTCGAGGAGATGGGCCTTGACGAGTTTGACGGGGAAGCTACGATTGAGGATATCAATCTCGAGGACGAGAGATGGCAAACAGTCATCGGACAGGAGATCCTTGAGGACGTGATGGAGAGTAAACTGAGCCAGTTCAAGAACCTATAGTGATTGACATTACCGAAAAGCAGGGACTGAGATAGTCTTACGATGTTGTACCATTATTGCGTCATCCCTGGGTTCGCTCCTGGACCTTCTGACCAGAGTTTTGGCGTCGATCCCTGAGACCGTTGCCCGGTTTTGCTATCTGCATAGAGTGAGTGCGTCGACTCCGCTCTGTTAGACAAGACACTGCGTTGTCATCATGGTGCAAGTTGTGGACACGATGCCAGTGCACCGTAACTCGCGACAGTGTGGGAGACGCGAAGGCCAGATTGAAACGGCACAGACCATAGGGAACGACCATTCCTTCCCTTGTTTCTCTCTTTGATTCGCACAGGACAAGGCCTGTTTGTCACCATCGTCTATTGTTTCTGTGGAAATCGAATCACTGTTGTCGAGTGTCCGCGCTTGCTTCAAATTGCTAGTGGGTATGGACGTGAGTACCCGCCCGGGTTTGGTTCGAAAGTTACTGATAACAGCAGACAATTATCATACCTCCCATCAGAATATGTTTCGTCAGCAGCTGAGGTCTTCACGGACTCATATGTTGTTGTGATACTGGCAGTGCTTGCCTGCGCCAGGGCCGCTAGCATGCCCGGGCCGTCTCCTTGACTCTGATCAACCCCTGCCACTGCCGAGTCGGAATCCGAGTACCGCATCCCTAGCCAAGTTGGGGGCGCGTTGGCAGGTTTCGCCTGCGAAGTCTTCAATGGAGGTCAGTGACTCGGAGCGAGAGACAAGGATTTAATAGGATGAAGTGTCGAGCTCAAGGCACTGCGGCGGCGCTGTGGCGGTCAGAGGAACTTGAACAATACCTGCCAGAAATGGAAGCATGCAGACGCCCTTGGTCGTCCGACGACTCGGAGCGACTCATCGAAGTTCAAGTTCCTAGGACCACGTCGACAATCGCTGTCTTCAACCTTCGTGCCTCAGGGCACCATAGGTTCAGCGCCAAGGCTGGCAGCGGGCCACCGCATAATGTACTGGTCCACACCATCACTACACCACTGGCAGCTGCGAACCATCTCGAAATCACGAACTTGTACGCCCCGTATGTATTACATGTGTAATCGCGGAATAGAATTTACTATTTGTCCGCGTCAGCAGTGGTTGCGCAGTCGCGGTGTCTGCTTCTCGAGTATTATTCCTCGAGAAGCGTAGCCCGGAGTCACCCTCAAGTCGCGGTAGACCTTCAAACCACGACACTTGTCAGCTACTTCGGCGTACTGAATAGTGACAAGCTAGTGTTCTTACACTCTGATCATCTCGGCGAGCATGTTGCTGAGGTGCCTCACGAGGTTCTCGGTTCCAAGATGTTGCTTATTTGCTGACGTATCCCATGGGGCCGTTGTTTGAAAGAAGAGTGTTTCCGCCTCGCGAGCCTCTGAGGGTGTGATGCCTGCAGCACGCTCTGCGGCGTTTGGTTGGCGAGTGCAATAGTAACCGTGGCGGAGGTGATGGTCCTGCGAGCGGCCCTCGAGGATCTCCAGCCAGAGTTCTATCTCTCTTGCCTCCATACATCTCACGGGCCACCTATCAGCCTTGGTCATGACACCTGTAGAAAGGACAAGGCTGCGTTCGACGTTTGTCCACTCAGATACAGCCGTGGGATATGCCTACTTACCAACGGTCCGTGAATCGTCATGATCAGCCTCGCGAGCTAACCTAAGGGCGGTCTGATTCTCGATATCAGCTGCAAGGCACAAACATTTCAATGATCAGTTGCAATGTAGATGGACATGACGCAAAGCAGAGAACGTACTCTCCATGGACAGCGCAACAACAATCAGACAAGTGCCTGATATGTATGACTGGACCATGCGCTCGACAAATTTCACAACGTTGGCGTCGGCGTTCGATATAATGCCTGGCTCACCGGCGTCAGCTTCGTCGCACGACCTCGGGGAAACCCAGCATGATCAACCTGGTAAGTCAACAAAGGATAGATAGGTCAGGTCTGGGCCCGAGATGTCGACGCAAACAACATTCTGCGAGAAAGGTAATGTCGATAGGTCCCAAGGCAACGCGTACAGATCGCCCGCATTCATGTTCGCGTAGTATGCCAAAGGTCGTTTCCCGCTGTCCAGCACCGCCGTTTGAGCTCGCCTGAGCATTAATTCGACATCTGACTTGTCCGTGAGTAAGCCCCCAAATGGGACTTGCTCGACATGGTCCTTGCTCCGACCGTCCGCGTCGAACTCCCAGCGTATAGAGACTTGGCAGGACCACTCTTCCTTCGATGAGAGTAGCCTGCATTCCATGGGACAACGAGTGCAGGTGCCAGCATTGCGCGGCACTTCGATCTGTTGAGCAGTCAGATGGGATAGGACAAGCCCATGAAGTCATCTTACTCCCGATATGGCCTCGATAAGACTAGACTTCCCTGCACTTTGGTTTCCGATGACCACGATGCGTGGCAGGTCAAGATGGATGTGAGCTCTGCGGGTCATGCACCGGAGATAATTAATTAGCAATGCACACGCTCTCGCGACAGAGACAAGAGAACCCGTGTGCGGAGAGCAGAGGGCCCGAAGTGCGAGAGGTGCTTACCCGACTGCGCGGAGTTTTTTTGCCGATGTCAGCACTTGCTCGCGGTACTGGGAGTAGCCACCCTCAGAGAACGGGGTGGGGGCAGACATGATGGGTGTCAGAGGCAGAGATCACTTGCACCAACCCTGTGAAGTACTCGAGGCGAAGGAGTTTGCCGTAGAGACGCACACCAATTCCAGGGTGAGCGTCGCTGGACAGGGCGATTCGAGAGCCTACTGGATCATGGGTCATTAACCTTCTGTTCAACGTGGAAACTCTAATGCGTCCAGGATTTGAACGTTATTACGTATCTGCGTATCGCCACCTCAAAACGGATACAGTTACTGAAAGAGAACAGTGCTCGAAGAGCTATTTGAGGCTCTCACATGCATCGATGCGAGGTGTGTCCTCACCAACAGCGAACATTGGGTGCGTTGCGTCTCGTACTTTCTGGTGTGCACCGCCTCTATGGTACGCCGGAAGGCCACAGTTCGATTTTGGACGCGGCTCGGCGCTATCCGCAGGATAGACGCCGGCCACCCACCGACGAGTTCAACAAAGCAGTTCACATACTCTTTCCGTGATCCGGAGGGACTCGCTACAACTGCAAGACCTATTGAGATGATATTTTGAGGCATCGAGTGGCCTTGCAAGAAAGTCGAAAATCGTCACTGAGTACGGTGGCGCAAACGGGGAATAAGCGCCCATCAAGTTCGAACGTAGCCGTAATAGATCATAGAGCTAATAAAGATCTTAGCCCACTGTTTTCGTACGTGGTTACAACCAGCCGAAGCCCGTGCCACGCTACGGAAGTTCGATGTGCGCCCGCATGTCTTATTCGTTTTGTATACAACTCCAATGTGACTATCCGGTCCAAATCATTTGGTAGCAATGCTAACCCAGGAGGTCACTCAGCCGCCTCCCTCCAGGAGTCGGCTTCGTGGCCTGATATCAGCCCGCAACATACCAATACGTACGGCTTGCGCAAGCAGATTCAATATTGAATGACTTGCAGGAAGTCTTCTGGTCATCGCCGGAGTCCGAGTCGACATGCATTGCTCTGGGATCCGCTTACCCCATCCCCTCTCGCGATCAAATACGCAACTTAGAAGTTAGTAGACATACACACCATGCCCAGTAGTGTGCGTAGGTACCATTTACCGACAGACTCTGTCAGCCACAAAGCGCGTGCCATTGATGAGCTCGAGCCTGCGTGGAATTCGTTTGGCAGAGTGTATGGGTAAATTGGCTGTTCCCTCTGCTGTATGGTCGCACCGGGTCACTGTCAGTATCACTTGTAATTATCATTAGAGGCAGTTCGGACAATGCACATACCATTTCGAATACAATCCTGTGTCGCGTGGACAAATGAGGCATCCAGTAATTCGTGCTGTTTGTGACAGCCAGTGAACGATGTTCGTAGTAGTCTGGGGGATCATAGTGTCCCTATAACCCATGAATTGACAGCAGAGCCTGGAAGTTATTCAGACGTGCAGTGCATCTATGCCCATGGCCTCCGAGTGGTCACTCTCCGACTCCGACTCGTCCGCGTTGTGCTTGCATCCTCGGTGTTGCCGCGCGTCGTACCTGACATTCGCTCGTCCTTGCTCGTCCTCAAGGCTCATCTCATCCCCTCGTCATCACCCGTCTCTGCCAGCCATTCACCCTTCCTTGCCGACTCGCTCCCGTCCGGGCCCGCCGTCTGTCGGCCCTCCCCGCTCGTAGCTGCGTCTGGGCCCATGGTCCGATCGTCGGCTGCGCTTTACGGTGAAACTTTGCCCTGCATGCTCGCCGAGCATTCACCTTCGTTCTCGCTGTACGTGTCGTGGCCCGCTTGTGTGCCCGCTCGCACGCCTCTGCGCACGCGTTCGTCAGCCGTGCCTGCGTCCAGTGAGTGTTCGCCCATCGCGCTCGCGGTTGATGTGTGCGCTGTCGCCTGCGCGCTCTCCCACCCATCCACTCGCTTGCCCATCCGATTGCCCGTCCACGCCTGCTCGCCCGCCTGCCCACTCGCTCTGCGCGCGTTCGTCGGCGGTGTCTGCGTGCTGGGCATTCGCCCGGTGCGCTCGCGGTCGGCGTGCGCATTGCGCTTCATGGCGCGACGGCGACTGCGCCCTGCGCCTGCCCACATTCTCCCATCCGTCCGATTCCTTCGCTGATGCAACCGCAGTCCGGTCGTCGGCCGTGTTTGTGTGCTGGGCTTATGCCCTGCGCGCTCACGGCCGGCGTGTGTACTGCGTGCCCCGGCCCTACCAACCATACCCCACGCCCGTTCTTAGCCAGCTTGCTCGCGTGCAATGGTACTCACCTTCGCGTCTGTTGCTCACGCGCTCGTCGGTCGCGTACGCCGCATGCTGGGCACTTACCCTGCGTGCCCATCGTTCCGTCTCGGGCCTTCGATGCGCTTCACAGTGCCATTGTTGTTGCGCTCGTGGTGGTGCTCTTACACACCCGAGCCCGAGCCAGGCCGTCGTGGATGAATATTGAGGGGGTGGTGCCCACGGCGAGAGAGGGAGAGAGTGGCAGCAGTGGCAGATTGGCATGAGGCAACGCCGCGAGCGATTCGACGGCCCGCACAGGATCAAGCGTGCTTCCAAACTTAGAGGATGCGGCTAGGTCGAAGAGCGCAGCGAGTGTATGTACATGCCAGAGTGAGAAATTGAGCGCTGCACGTTCGAACAGTACTTGGAGGACAGTACTGTAACTATGTACTTTGAAACGACGCAAGGAGGTGGACGGCGCTCGGGCCTCGGGCATGGTCCGGAGGCCGAACCGCGTCCGTATTCGAACCGTGGCCTTCCGGCCGACCTTACCGCCTCCTCAGTATGTATCATCTGTCAGATGCGGACAACTATGTGGTATATGAACTTGAGCGACGGGGAAGCAGACTATATGTCGACTCACCTGGACCCCTGAGCCTCAGGCTAAGGTTGAGCATACCTCGTAAGGCAAACCACCTGTGGGGAAATCAAGACCAATCGATGTAGACCCTTACTTCGTAGACTGTACTCTTCGGATGACGTATACATCACAGCGAGTGCGCATTGCCCCTGACGAGTTAAAGTTAAAGGTCTCCGAAACAGACACGTACAAAGCCCGCCGCCTAGCGCAACGCCTTCTTGAAGTTCGCTGCAAGTTTCTGGGCACGAACATCATGCAAATGCCATCCGGCGACACCAGTACTTGCCAGTGACCATATCGACCCTCGCTCTATCGAACGACTGACACGATCGCGAAGGAAAAGACAGCCAGACCCTGCCACGCTCGAGCTCATGAGCGGCCGCTTCTGCCCGACCAGATCGCCGCGACTTCTCCGGACGCGCGGTGCATCGTTACAGTGTAAATTACAGGCGGCTCGTCAGGCATCGAGTTCTACGACGTGCCCGCGCCAATGCGCGCGTGCTCATCGTCTCCCCGAACGAGGAGAGGCGCAGAGCGCGGACTCGGAGGCGGGGCTGAACCGGGCGCTGAAGGACGTCAGCTCGATGGGTACCGTTACCTGGTACCGGTACTACAGGGTGGGCTTCGCTACCCTGAGGGAGGTGGCGCGAGCACTGGCAGACGCGCAGGGCGTTGCAGAGGCTGGATGTGTTCATCTGCAATGTGGCGCCCGGAGATACACCGCATGGCACTGAGTAGCACCACACGAAGTACCACAACGAGGGAGACATCATTGATCAACGACGCAACCGATACTGTAGCCTCAAACAAGTACACATACTGAAACCACTGGACTGACTCTTGAAACGGAACGAAGGCACGTGTCTCGGAATACTTGACACCATATTGTACACACCGGGATAATCAGATGCAGTCGGTGAGCAAGGTCTTACGACGGTGCAGATACCTCGACACCGGCGAGAGACGCACTCATCAGCTCCATCTTCGCCTTCTCTAGACTCGTCTTCTTCCCCGTCAGCTCCTGTCGGCGGGAGACGATATCAAGCTCTTCGCTGAGGTACGTCGCGCAACGGGCAGCTGCGTCAGGCGTCCCGAGTGCCAGGCTCGATGAGGTGCAGCTGGAGAGCCTCGGCGAAGGCGAATAGGAAGGTATGGTCGATAGCAAGAGGAATGTAATCGATGATCCGCTAAGTCAAATGGGTCAAGTCATTCGTCGGCCATGGAAGCAACACGAAACACACCTTGTACGAGACCTGGAAGTAAGCCCTTACTTCCGCCATCACACTGAGCTCTTCCTCGTATTCGTCAGGCGGATTGAGCTTCCCTAGGTCGTCCGCTGTTAGTCCGACATAACCCAATTTGCCAGCGCTGCGAACGCCTCAGCTTCTAGCCGGCCGTGTGGTGTTCCACTTATAGCAGGCAATGCAAGGGTGGCACCACTGGGGAAGACGGTGCGTATCTAGCATTAGCATATGTTGGGGCGCTCGCATTGACCGCTGTGCTTGCTGTTGGGCTGTCCGAGGTATCGAGCCCGCCGAACCCACCAAAAGCTGGTGAAGGCACTATTCAGCGAAGCCAGTGAAAGACGACGCTGGTCAGCAATGATCCAGAGTATCATGGACAAACAGTAATTATGACGGTGCACTAGCTTACCTGCAGGCGTGAATTCGACTCAGCCTCGTCATAATGTTCACTGGCGTAGGCTCCATGGAGATTTGCCCTTGGATTTTTTGCCCTTTCTCTTCGGAGGCAGCTCGCGAGGAGGAGACTCATGCCAATATATCCTGAGCGTGACCAGATTGAGGTGGAGCAGTTGTAGATGATACACAGAAACGTACTCTTCTGCCGTTTGTTCGATCGGAACCGGATGATCCTTCGGATGGAGGCTCATCCTCAGCAAAATCACTTTTCTACACATGTCACATTAGCCACACATACGAGGATACATATCAGCACTGACCTTCATGCTTACCATCAGCATGATACACCAACGGTTCTTCAGCAGTTGCTTCGGCTTCTGGAAGGCAACGGACACTGGTCCTACCACCACGTATGTCCTTGTATCGGGAGAGTACCTTGTCTGTTGCATCAGAGAGATAGTGGGTATTCTGAGTGAAGGGCGTAGTTTCGAATTTCAAGAGAATCTCGATCTGCTCGGACGCAGCAGTGCGGCGCACTTGAAGCAACGACATGACGGCGGCTCTGCATGATTGGGCACATCAGCGCTACATTAATGAAGACGGGAGGCGGCGAGCCACATACTCAATTTGACTTTCGAGATGTCTAAAACGCCCGAAGCGGTCACGCATCAACTGGGAGAGCGTGCGGTTGAAAAGCCGCTGTATTTTTTCGAAGCAGGCGAAGCATTCCCTCTCCCAGGTCTCTTGGAACCTCTGTATCAATAGTGTCTTGGCCGGGTAGGGGACGTTGAAGGGCAATTCGCGCGTCATGGACCTAAACAAAGGAGGAGAGGCGACACCACTTGTCAACGCGGAAGGCGTAGGTCACTTGTGCATAACGCACCGTCGGATATGAACACGCATATCCTTCAAGTATATCTCATTAGTCGATGTTCCAGGAGGAAGACCGTTTATGATTGTTTCATTGTCTTCATCCAAATCAGAGAGCACGTCCACGGTGGAGCTGAAAGGTGCGTCCCTTGCCGAGGGAAGTGGTATGAACCTTGGTGCAGTGCCGCGAATGGCATGCTTGAGAGCCTCAAACTCGCGTCGACTCTGTTGTACCAGAATTTCTGCACCTGGGATACCTGAGACACGTGACCGTATGTCTGTGCAGAAAGACGAGAGGAGACCAAACACGAAAGCGGCAGGTTCGCTCGTCACTTCCTTCGGTAGCTTTCGCAGCTCTGTATAGCATGCGGTGAGCTTGTTCTCTACCTCGCGCTGAAGTTTCGGTAGACTTTCAAACGACGGCATTTGTCAGCTATGTCGGCATACATAGTGACGAGCGGATATCCTTACACTTTATTGATTATCTGAGTGAGCATCCCGCTGAGATACTTCACGAGGTTCTTGGTTCCAAAGCGTTGCTTATCTGCTGACGTATCCCATGGAGCTGTGTTTTGAAAGAAACGTGTTTCCGCCTCGCGAGCCTCTGAAGGTGTGATGCCTGCAGTACGTTCTCCATCATCTGGCTGGCGAGTGCAATAGTAACCGTGGCGGAGGAAATGATTCTGCGAGCGACCCTCGAGGATCTCCAGCCAGAGGTCTTTTGCCTTGATAGATCCCGGGGTCAGCGTATCAGGCTTGGTCATTACACCTGTAGAAAAGGCAAGGTTGCATTCGACTTTCGTTCGCTCGGATACGGCCATGGGACTTACCGATAGTCCGTGAACCGTCACGATCAGCCTCGCGAGCTAGCCTAAGGGCGGTCTGATTCTCGATATCATCTGCAAGTCGCAAACATGTTAATTATCCGATGCAACATAGATGGACGTGACGCAAAGCAGAAAACGCACCGCTCATAGGGAGCGCGACAACAATCAGGC